TGAAAGTGGAAGTAACGCAACTGCCAGCGCAGGCGCAGCTCCGCCAAGGCGGGAAATTTCAAACCTCTGCTCCACCCTCCGCAGGTCCCGCGGTTGCAGCTGACGTGGGCGCTGCGCGCTCTTCTGGGCAGCTGTCTGCGCAGTTCGGTGGTTTCGCATCCTCCCCAAAGACCCGACTTTGGTTTGGCTCTGACTTCGAGTCCCTGACGCTGGTGGCGAGCGAGGTGAGCGGTGGAGTCGGCGAGCGCGCGGGGTCGGAGATGCTCCCATGGGCCGGGGTTGGGGGTGCGCGCGAGAACCAGCCGCCAACCCCAGGCCTGGGCCGGATAGCGCTACCCACCTGCGGGGCCGAGAGGGCACAGGTTTTATTTCAGTGGCTGCTTTACTAGAGGACATAGGGCACGTCCTTTATGTCAGGAGAGCCGTGACTTCTCCAACTGAAAGGCAAGGCTTAGGATAGGGCAGCTAAGAACACGTTTGATGTGACACGGAAAGCATGTTGGGGATGGAATATCCGGTATCGTCTTAACCTTCTGTTGCCTGCGCTGGGCGTGCGCATGTTCATCCCAATGGAGTGGAAAACTCAGATTTCTTTCTGCCCACTTTATCTTTCTTTTTTTTTTGGCTTATGTGTAATACTCACTCCTAAAGAACCCGGGTCCTCTCTCAAATTCCAGAAGATGAGTCATCTGCAGACACACCGAACCTGCACATTTTTCTTAGTTGTTGGGCGGTAACTTCCCGCCTTGAAGGACCTCATAGCACAGCCCAGTTCCGCAATTATATGCATCTTGTTTTTGCTTCCCCAGGGTCTCTGCTCTGTGAAGAGTCTCCCTGTGGTAAATATATTGATAATAATATTAACAGCAGTAATAGTTACTGGGCAACCTGTTATGCGCCTGGCACTGTTCTAAACGCTTAACATTCAGTATGTTTTTTAATCATCGCATCATAAATGGAGGCTGATTGTACCACTCCTCCCATCTTAAAAGAGTGAGAGTGAGGCATAGAGTATTAATTAATATGCCCAAGGTCATGCACCGAGTTATTGGTAACCTGAAATTTGAACCCAGATAGTATTATACAAACTAATGTTTAAATAGCATTTTTATATTCGTTATCTCATCTGGAATCATTGCCTCATTTTACAAACAGAAAACTAAGGTTCAGAGAGGCTGAAGTGAGTTTTCTGAAAAGTTCATTACCTGTAAATGATGAAGCCAGGGCTCCTGAATAGTGCAATGGTTGAGAGAATAAGCATAGTCTCTTTTTTTTAACATCAAAAATTTTAAATAGTATTTAATAATATATTTAGGAAATAGTTAAATTAGAGGCTAGTTAGTTCTTCATCCTTTTTTTTCCAATTACAATTGAAATTCACAATTATTTTATATTAGTGGTTAGGCCTTTATGTAATTTACGAAGTCTTTATCCACCAGTAAGTCTAGTATCCACTTGCCACCATACACAGCCATTATAATATTATTGACTATGTTCCCTATGCTGTACTTTACGTCTCTGTGAATATTTTGACATTACCGATTTTATACTTCTTAATACTTTCACCTTTTTCACCCTGTTCCCCTTCCCGGCTCCCATCTGTCAATCAGCATTTTGTTCTCTGTATCTGTGAGTCTGTTTCTGGTTTGTTTGTTCATTTACATTGTTTTTTAGGTTCCACATGTAAGTGAAATCATATGGTATTTCTCTTTCTATGTCTGACTTATTTCACTTAGCATTATACCCTCTAGGTCCATCTACGTTGTTGCAAATGGTAAGATTTCATTCTTTTTTATGGTCAAGTAATGTTCCATTGTATGTATGTACCACATCTTCTTTAAAGCATAGTCTTTAGATAAATTCGACTTGACAAGAACTACAGGGGCTAGAGCGTAAATTAAACTACATGAAGAAGCAAGCCAGGAGGTGAACATTACGCAAACGACTTCTCTGTTCTCTTCAACAAATCAATGCTTTTCTTTTAGAATGAAAGAAATGTAAGAAATATAATAAAGACAGCTTATCTACCTCAATTGGATCTTAGCCTGAATAAATTAGTATTGCGATTATATAAGAAAAAGTTCTAAATGTTTAGAAATGGAAAGTGGTACTCAGGGTTAAAATGTCAGGATGTCTCTAACTATAAAATAATCTAGTAAAATGAAATGATGACACAAATTTGCCAAAAACTGAGCAATTATTAACCCTCTGTGATAGGTATATGGAGGCTTATTATATTATTCTTTTTTTCTATTTTAAAATGTTCATAATAAAAAGTCATCAGAAGTATATTCTCTGGAGCTTTGTGACCTTGAGTAAATAGCTTAATCTCTCTGGGTGTTCAAGTTCTTTCCCAGTAACACGGGACTAATAATACCTACCTCACAGGGTTGTAAGAATGATAAGAGATGGTTTATGAAAAGCATACAGAACACGGCATAGTACATCATCTGCATACTCCATTCATTCATCGAATGTATCTTTATAAATGTATCTTTAGTGAGGGCTGGCTATGTGACAAACACTGAGGACAGGAGGCTGCTGCCTGTCCACGACTTCCGTTCAAGCAGTATTTATCACGCCCGAAGATTTCGCTCCTTTATTTACATTGTGCGTTCTCCTCTGGGGAGACATCGGAGGAAAGAGAGAAAGGAAAATACCTCTTTCAACAAAATGAACTAAAGCAGCCACTCATGCTGCTACCTTCCCAGGCAAACTCTCAAAGCTTATTTTGTCTTCGTGGTTCTCTTCCCATTCGTTTTCCTCGACTCGTGCTATCCCTGTGCCATCTCCAACTTAACTGGAGGCCAGATTTTAACGTCAGTGTAACTAGAGCACGCTTTTGATTTCTCCAACTGCACACCTGTCTGTAGGTTATTTATACCTGCCTTTGAATTCTATCTCTGCCGCGTGGCTCTGACCCACCTTCTCTGCGTTATAGTTTCCCCATATACAAAATGCAGAAATACTGATTTTGGATGGTATTTGTGGGCACTGGCAGTTAGAGATAATTTTTGGAGAGTATTTAGTATGGTGCTTCGTCAAGGGGAGCTTTAATTGTTGGGGCGATTATAGTGGGCAGATAAAACTGTCTACCTGCTAAGTTGACATCTCTGATGAGGACAGCAAGGCTGCAGCTAAAGGGAAAGGTTGGTATATGGGGTCCCCATTAATCTTGTCTTCTATACAATTATGATCGCTATGAAGATATTGCTCTCATTTGAACCTTTTTAGTGTTTCGGCTGAACTGTCCATTCATCTTCAAGCCATTATGAGCTCTAAGAAACGCAGATCGCAGAAGGCCTCATCCACTTTAAAGAATATCAAGAAAATTGACCAGTATTTTCCTCAGGTATGTTTGTAACTACTCTTTATGGAATATACCGATAATAGACTTAGCCATTCTTGACACTGGGTTACATAGTCTTCATGCCAAGAAATCACCTCATTATATGTAGGGAATATTAAATAAATTAAAATCTTTCACATCCATCTTATTTTCATTTTGGAGAGTGGCAGCAAAAAGGAGTTTTAATAAAAATCTTGGCCATCATATCAAATAGCTTTAACCAAAAGCTATTATAACATTTCCTGAACAACAAGAACAAATCAAATATAACGTATTACAGTAAAACATGGATTAACATGAAATTAGTGTTATTTCAGAGCTTGAAAATATCTACCATGCAAATATGGCCAATCTATTTGATAACAATAAAAACCTACATTTGTATAGTGCATTACAGTTTATAAAACAATTTTTAAAA